AGGGGTTTCTTGATATGAAATGGATTACCGGTAGTTTAAGTTATTCCATAAAAATTAAATGCTTTTACTTGCGATATCAAGTTCTAGCTCTAGGTCTTCAATGTCTTGTGCGGGTGCCGGTGCTGGTACCTGTGCGGGTGCCGGTGCCTGTATGGGTGTTGTCGCTGGAGCGTGGCCCCACCTCGTCCTCGCCTTCTTCCTCCTCTTCCTCTCCGGCCTCTCCGCCTGAGATCATTTCCACTTTGAGGAATTTCTATAGGATGCCCATCATTTTCCGACAGAACAAATAAACTGCACATCAGAGGTAATTGGACATAATTGTTAATTACCGTACCTGAGGAAATTTTCTTTGTGACCAACAACTGTTGATGACATTGAAACCAAATCAATTATTTATTAAAAGTCACAGAACATGATATTCAGGTTGCCTACAAAGTCTCAGTCATATAAGAAAACCGCATAGTATGAGAACGAGTGATAGTAATGATAGTATAAAAATATATATTTACAGTCACTTTCATTTCCAACCACGGTCCATATTTATATACTCCCTTAACTCTACAATTAATTATGTCTGTTAACCTTCCCGCTAAGAAGGTCGTTGAACTGCTATAGAGGGTTTGGTTTCGTGAAACAAGAAAACACAATTTTAAGTAAAATTTAATGAAAATGGAACTTTTAAAACCTATAAAAATGCCTTAATTTCGATAAAATTGTCTACAAAATGAAGGAGTTGTCGTAAATAGCCAATATAATTTTTGTTTAAAAGGTATTCAAATTTTATGGTATTAAAGAATTTCCCCCTATTAAATGGAAAAGAAATAATCAAGATGTAAATTTTATAAAAATAAACTAGAATTTTTTAATAATAGATCCGCTAAAGATATGTTAGCGTTTTACTGTAAAGAGTGTCATAAAAATTATATAAAATAATTGTTTGATAATATTGAAGTAGAAGGTAAAAGTGAAAAAGAATGTTAAAATTGTAAGGAAACAAAATAAATATCAAATTATAGACAGAAAATTTGAAATTTGTAATGAATGTCTCGGAAAAATGTTTAGAATTACAACACACTGTGAATGTGGAAGAAATATTAAATGGCTTATTTATTATTCAAAACATTTGAAAACTAATGTTCATAATAAAAATATCAAAAAATAAATAATTTAATAATATTATTAGAAATTTTACTTGTTTTAAAAAGTTTAAATTTTGTTAATATTCTGAAGAGTTGTTTTTAGAAAATATACAACAATTGATTGAACCTTATATTTTTAAATTCTTTAATAATAGTGATTTTTTTTTATAATTTCTCTAATATATTTTGTATTTGTATTATTGAAACTACAATAATAATATTTATTTAGTTCAAATGAATAAACTAAATACTTGTTTGTTTACTATCAAATCTAAAACTGTCACATCATTAAGGATTATTTCTTTAGCTATAATTATTTTTTATCTTTATGTACCCAAGGTAATGTATCGATTCTATTATCACAAATATATATTTTATCATCTTTATTACTCTTACATCTATTATTAGCTAATTTGTTTATTCTAACAGTATATAATTCATGTTTATAACTTCTTAGACGTGTCATTTCCCTATACTGTTCTGTATCATCAAACAAACACTTCTTTATATCACTATATTAATTATCTTATTTACAAAACTCTTTTCCTTTACATTTTACAGGATTTTATAACTATATCATTTAGATCTTAACCCACAATATTCTTTTACTATTTCATTTATTTATGGCAGGGTAGTGGTTTTATTTCCATTGAATACCCCTACATTGAGTAATCTTCATTGTAATCTTTGCTCAATAGTAACAACTGATGTTTTCCCCTTTGTACTGCATTCGTTAATTTGCTTGTAAATCCTTGGCGAACATAACAACACACATACAACTTTTTGCAACCAGCTTTCATCCATAGTATTACATGATTGTTTTCCGGTTCTTGATCATCGGAAAAAATATCTGTTCCAATACATTTGGTCATGACAGTGAGAGTTAGTTCTTCATGAAGATTTTTTTACAGTAGTGAGTTTACCCGCATTTTTGTTTGCTTACTTCTTCCAACATGTTGTTCTCCTCTTCAATTTGTGGTTTATATTCGTCATCTAAAATACCTAATAATTCATTTCTACTGTTATTAAAATTTCTCTAAATTGTTAAGGAAATTTTAAATTTTTTTTATTTCTTTCCTCTTCTATTTTATTCGTTTTGCTTTTTAATGAAGATATGGTAGAGTCCATTTATTAAGAAGATAATTGGTAGAATACTAAAATATTAACATAACAGGATATGTGTTTGTTTTATAAGTATCAATTAGAGGTGACTGAATCCCTGGTTTTATATAGTAGTACCTGGAAATCAAGCTATGGCAGGGTAGTGGTTTTATTTCCATTGAACCCCTACATTGAGTAATCTTCAGTGTAATCTTTGCTCAATAGTAACAACAGATGTTTTCCCCTTTGTACTGCATTCGTTAATTTGCTCGTAAATCCTTGGTGAACAACACATTTACAACCATTCGTTGACAAGCTGCACTTTCACATCTGTTTTTTTAAAGTTCGGAGTGCAACTAGATTTCCTGTTTTCGGGCTGGTGTATTCTAAACCCTTCAACCTGTTTTCATGAGCCAATTTCTTTTTATTTACCCTTTTTTCTTTGATGAGTGGTTCTTCTCTGTTACTTCGTTCAACTACAAAATCTTCTGGTCTTTTGTTTCCTTTTTCATTCCCACTAAATCCTTCTTCATTCCCACTATATCCTTTTTCATTCCCACTAGATGCTTTTTCATTCCCACTAGATCCTTTAGGTTTTTTTCTATGTGTTTATTCGCACAAGGCCCGGCATTTAAAAAATGGTCATAGCACAACAGTGCTTCGCAACGGAAACAAGCTGCAAATATTTCCTCCTTGCAGTGTCTAGCTTCACAAGATGCCTTATAAGTAGGGTCCGCATCTAGGTCGTCAGTATCTTCACAGTAACTTTCAATTTCGTCTATATCGAGTTCCTCTCTATTTTCATGTTACATCAAAAATTCCGTTAGAGGTAAATTATCTTCATCATTTTGGTCGCATTCAACTTCACCATTTTCAGTATATGTATTGTTTTCTTCGTCCATTTTTTTTCTGTGGTATTTGTATTAATGGAAGATCATCACCATCACTTGGTATGCTGTCTTCCGCCATTTTTTTAATATTTAAATTCACTCTTCAATCAGTCTGAAACAAAAATAAAATAAAAAATGTAATATAATAACATTGAAGCGTATCTCAAAAACCTGCGTGTTATTTCTACTTATTGCAGGACGAACAGGCGTATCTTGAGATACGCCCGATGTAAATTGAGTGTCCAAAAATATATTGCAACACGAAGAGGCGTATCTTGAGATCCGCCCTTTCGTCTTGAAAAAAAATCAGGAAATCATGAGATACGACTGACTTTTACAATGCCATATCTCCTACAGTAATAGCAACTGAGAAACGCCGATCGTACAGCCATGTAGAGCTCGTCGAGTTAGGTATCCGGGTGGGCGTAACTCAATTTAGAATTTTTTTGAGATACGCCTCTTCGTCTTGCAAACGTCGATATTTACGAAGATTTACTGGCCGTTTTCGTCCGAATATGCTGAGGACGAGGCATACTGGGAGTACAGGGATCTGGAGAGGAGGGTAGAGAAGATGAGCAGGAAAATAAAGGAGCTTTACAAGAAGATTGAATGGTAGGATTAGGTAAGTCTTAGATGTTTTTGGTAGCCATAAGGAAGGGTGTCATACGAGCCTTCAAGTCTCCTTAGGGCCAGTGACTCTAAAGAGTTTTTTTTTCACTTTAGTCATGATTATGTTTTTGTCTTTGGTCCTTCTAATTCTGCTTTCAGTTTTCTCAACTGAAAGTCTCGCTTCACTCAACACCATTAACACCATTTCTTTTAATTGAGCAAAATTTACTTTTAGGGGTGTTGAGGTTAAGTGTCCACCCTTAAATTTTGAACACTTCAACTAGCATTTTTATTGATTGAGAACACCAAGTACGCGTATGTCTTTGGACCACCTGAAAAAAAAATCAACAATATAGGAGCCCGGACCGTACAGTTCAGCCGTCTATCTGTGCGCGCGGGCCGGTGGTCAGGTTGCATGGCGGGAGGGTGGGAGGGGGCTCTTTTCTAAAAACATTGGCTACCCCAAAACGGCAACGGGAAGTTGAGGCAGCCCAAACTGGCCTGCAGGTGTAATCCTATTAGTGACGCTTCCGTGTACGACCTAGTACAATTTTGAATTATGTAAATTTTACTAAGGAAATACGAGGTCATGATCCTATATTGTTAACAGTGACATAGCAATCATTTCTGTTTTTGTCACATTCCAATCGGACATATTATGCGGTTTTACAGCAACAATAAACGGTAAAATATTCCACATTGCATATATTATTTACTCAATTGTTAGTTTCAACGATGTCAATAAGGATATTACCTTATTAAAATGTTGAAAAAAGGAATAACCCAGCACAAGTTTGTGTTTATTAACAACACACCAATCGCTATGATGTTTGAAAATATATTCTAGAGCAGTGTTAAAATTGGTCATGTTATGGTGAATCAGTAATATTTACCATATGAGTCACAGACCTAAGGGTTGCAGCCACTTGCTACGCAGGGTTATTGACTCCTGGCTACGTCATGTGTCATGAGTCACACATAGTTATCCGTACTGTGATATTTACCAACTTAAGAAAAGATCAGTCTCTCCTGATAGTTCATATGGTGCGGTTGTAAATTCTGAAAGTGTGTGATTTGGCTATTGGTTTATATCTTAGTTTTCATATATCATAGACGAAGTAAGTGTGCATTTAATATATATATTTTTATTTATTATCGTAAGCGTTCTCCATACACAATGGAAAATGAAATACAATCTAAATTAAAAGGCCGTGTCGTTAATAGTCAAAGTAGAGAAATAATTTCAAATGTTTACTCATTTATGAAACAAGAAGCGGACAATAAAGGTGTTACGATTCCAATAGCTAAAGCTCGAGAAAGAACCGCTTCTGCTACTGGTGTTTCTGAACGGATGGTCACTAAAATAAACGGAGAGCTTAAACAACTAAAATCCAACAATGAGGATGAAACAAAAAAGTTCTTGACTCCAAAGAAACGCCCTGGGAGATCAAAGACGTGTATAGACGACTTCGATAAATGCGTAATAAGACGAACAATATACAATTTCCATTTGCAAAAGAACTGTCTTCCTACTGTAAATTTATTGTTGCAAGAACTGAGAGAAAGCATTGACTTCAAGGGTGGGAAAACCACTTTACGAATTGTCTTGAGTGAAATGGGTTTCAAGTGGAGGAAAACGAAAACTAACAGAAAATTGCTGGCTGAGAAATCTGAAATTCGGGACAAACGCATTACTTATTTGAGAAAAATTAAACGGTTCAGGGAACAAAATAGACCGATAATATTTCTCGATGAGACATATGTTCTGTCGACTCATGTAAAATCACAATCTTGGTCAGACGATTCAAACCAAGGAGTTCGAACACCAGTGTCAAAGGGGAACCGACTGATAGTCATCCACGCTGGCGGAGAGAAAGGATTTGTCCCCAACGCGTTGACAACATGGAAGGCAACAACTCACTCTGGAGACTACCATGATAATGTTAACCAAGAAATGTTCATGGAATGGATGACTGAGAAGCTATTGCCAAATTTGGAGCCAAACACTGTATTGGTGGTAGACAACGCACCATACCACAATGTATTAGTGGACAAAGCTCCTACTAGTAAAAGCAAGAAACAAGAAATGAAAGACTGGCTTTCTAAGCACAATATTGCTTTCAGCGAAGAAATGTTTGTGCCTGAACTGTATAAGTTGATTACACAAAACAAATCGAAATTCTTCCGCTACGTCCTAGATGAGACTGTTCAGGCACAAGGTCACGAAATTCTTAGATTACCACCTTATCATCCGGACCTAAATCCAATCGAACTTGTCTGGGCTGATATAAAGGGCTACGCAGCAGGAAAAAACACTACATTTAACTTTTCTGATGTGCAAGCTATCACTGAAGAAAAGATCGCTAGTATGGGTCCTGAGGATTGGTTTCCGAAGTGTCAACACGTAAAGAAAGTTGAGGAGGAATATCTTTTGAAGGAAGGGGGAATCGACAACATGTTGGAATCTTTCATAATTTCACTGGGGAATGATTCAGAAACGGATTCCAGTGATGATGAATCAGAAGATGGAATGAGTGGAGTAGAAGAACTCCAATAATCGTTGGAAAGGTAAGTGTTAATTTAGTTTTACACATTAAATAAGTTATTTGCTAAATTTAAAATATTTACTATGTACGGCAATCAATATGAACGCATTTTAGATGATACAAAGAACCTATTTTAATATACCCTTATAAATACATAGATGCAATAAAAATAACCTGTATCAGCTGATTTATTAACTGCAGCTACAAAATATATTGACAATAACATGGGCACTTTAATGGGCTGTAGGGCGGAAACTGGATTTTGTCAGCCTCGTGACCAAGTCCAATCGATTTATCTGTCATCTCAAAATCTTTCATTTATAATTATTTTAAAGGCGAATTTCACACCTGATCTTTTCAAGGGTAATCATTTGAAGGATAACAACGTTTACACTAGAGTTTCTAACTTTGTATTAATTTTCATCAGCCATTAGGCGGCCGAAATATAGGTTAAAATATAACATGACTAATAAAGTAAATTCTAACCAATGGTTTTTAAAAGCATTATTTAAATTGTCTACAGTTCTAAATGCCTTTATACAGTTAAAGGAAATTGTTATAGTCGGCAAAAACAAACATTTTCATCCTGTATTAGAATATGGGATAGGGCTATGTTTCATTATGAGAAGTGAGTGATTTCATTTAATTTGTTTCTCGAGAAATGTACATATTTACTCTCTGAAATATAAATTTCTTTGGAAGTGAAATAAATCATGTAATTAGTATACTCAAACGATTACTTATACTATTACTTGAATATTGAACACTTTTTATTTATTTTTAGGTGGTTTCTTGGGACGAGTATGGAACCATATGATGTTATAAATATATGTGAAGCTGACGAAAAACACATCATTTTGGAAAAATTTATCATTCTCTTTTAAAAAACGAACACGTGCATAGTATTTTTTGTTTGTTTATATTTTCTTTTTCTCTATAATTTATATTATAACTGAGCTTATTCAATATTTGGTCATTCTCTTTGAATATAGGCCTAAATTAGACGTTGTATCTAGTATTTATATTTGAGTATTTTCATATTTTCTAATTTTGTTTAATATTCATTATAATTTTGCTTATTGAATATTTTATCATTTTTGTATGTAGTATAGATTTGTTATTATTTCATATTTTCTACTTTTGTTTGGTGTACATTATAATTAAATTAGCTTTCTAAATACTTGCTAAATTACTTTCAGTCGCCCCTACCGTAGGTTTTCTGCAAGGATAGTAGCGAAGGGTTCGCGCGCACAGATAGACGGCTGAACTGTACTCGGCTAGCTCGTCTGTCATTTCTCTCAAGTAGTCACCAGTCGGTATCCTATACAAGTTCTGTTTATGGATGTAGAGTACGCTGTCTGTGTCATAGTAAATTACCTGGCCGCCGAGAGCTTCGAGGTGTTCGTAAAGCTTTAATCTAGCTTGTGCCGTAGTGAACGCTGCAAGGACAACATTCACCGTTCGCAAAGACTCTCTAACCTCGTCGATATTTTGCCAATTTACAAGAAGGACGTTTTCGTTCAATTCTCGAATGGTACTGTCCTGGATCCCTGGTGTTATCATTAACGTGAAGAAGTCTTTGGGATTCCTAATCAACCACGCCTTTGTCTGATTCCCTCGCTGGCCGAACTTTCCTCAAAAAGAGTTTAGCAAGAGTTATCAATCCAATGTTCTTATAAATCTTGGCTGGATCTAGACTGACTCCTTCATGGTCATTGTAGTCCTTGACGTACTTTTCTTCGTCTTCAGGGGTCTCACACCAAGCAAGTAAAGGGTACACTGATGCCTCTTGTCTGATCTTTAAGAATTTATCTATGAAATCGTTAAAGAGCCCTCCATTTTCATAAGTAGCCATCTTGTATTCCCACATCTCATACATGTCTAGAATCACATATCCTTTGTCCACGGCTTTCCTTATATCATCCATTGTCCAGGTACCAGTCAGGGCTCTTTTTTCACTACTATGGTGATAATCTTCTTGTTTCAACTGCTCACCACACTTTCTACACAGAACAAACATCATCAGCTTGTCGCTCATCCTAGCAGTTAGTACAGGGTGATACAGTTTAGGTGGTGGCAAGATTTTACACTTCAAAATACCATTTACATCAAATCCTAGCTCTTGGCAGGGTCTGTCCTCTACAGTAGGATGACCTAGCGTTGTTTGTGACAGAAACCCACTGATGGTTTTCTCCATTACAGTTTCATTCAACCTTTTCTAAATATTTCTTGTTACATCTGAACAATCATTGAAAAATTATTAAAAATGTAATATAATATAAGAAAAGCTTAGTCTACTACTGCATCTTTAATACTTCTGCTAATATTAAATGTTGTGGCATACTTTGTGCCACACTTTGGTGATCTGGTCATGCGTTTCAAGTTCCTGACCAAATCGTTCTCGTTGGAAACGTTATCTGAACACATTGTTTAACAAAGAGGAGACAATTTACCGCAATTCACAGGCCCTAAGAGCCAGCTTTGATGAGAGTTTGATTAATTAAGGCATTATAACACTGAAATACGTGGATTGTTCAACATAGTGAATATTTAGTATATGAGTCAACTGGACACAATATGAACTAACATTTGAATTAATAATCAATAATAAATGATGGAATAAACAACATAGTGAATTTGACTAGATGATCTGAAATTACATATTATTAAAATACTACTACTACTCTACAACACAATACCTCAAGGGGGCGTCCCCCCGTTTCCCAAGCAATTTAGAGACCCATGTTGGTTGTAGGAAGCCAGGCACAAGACAAGGAGTTCGTTCACTCGTTTTACTCGCCTGCTCGCTGCGCATGCGCGAGCAGCCCTGGGGTTGAAAATAGGCGGGACATTTAAATAATTGCTGTGCTGTGGAGATTGACTCCACAAGATCTCCCCCTTCCCCCGAGCATCAAAGAGGAAGAAGAGTGACCTCCTTGGTTGAGGTGTCACGTTGGTCTGTTTTCAAAAAAAAAAATATATCCTTGTTCAACAAATAAACTTGTTCAAGTAAATAAATATGACGTATAACAACAGTAAATATACAATAAATATTAACAAATAAATACATATATATAACGAATATCTGAAACATGAAGCATAAACAGAAATTTAATATTTATCTGGTAACTGGTGTAGTGTTGTGTGAGTGTATGTGTGAAAGTGTGAGCGCACGACTTTGCCTCCTTCCCTTCACAAGTCACAGTTTGCAGGTTCAAGCTATTGAAATTAAAAAAATTAAAATAAAAGTTATAGCTCGACCGAAAATCCCAAAAGATATAAGAAATTAGCTAATCTGTGACTGTGTTTGGAGGTTGGCGTGTAGGTGTAAATGTAAGTGTGAGAGAGGTGGTCTTAAATCTAACTAACCTAATATCTTTGGCTTGTGCGCGGTTGAATGTTTCCCTTTTTTGTGACATTTGATGACATGTTTTGGTCTTGTGCTGTGTTTTGGCTGGGATGGAGGGTGGTGTCGCTTGCTCCGCGGAAACACTTCCGTTTGTTTACGCAGGCAGCTGGTCGCTTTCAATAGTTTTGTCAGTGTGTAGGTAGATTTCGGTGTTCATTAATATTATATATATATATATTTTACCTATTCATAGCGTACACGTATATATACATATATACATACATATACACAAGTAAACTATTTAAAAAGGGTTTTGACTATTGTACTAAGAATAATGTAAGCTATTGTATTGATTTGAGCTGGGCTGAGGAGTTATTTTGACAAACTCGACGTGTAATGTGATAGTAGTACCTAACTTGTGTAAGGTTGTGTGTTATTGAACACACTTTACATTCCATTGTCATTTGATGCATTTGGAATATTTGAATGAGATTTTATTTCACCTGGGATGTGGTGAGATTTCATTTTTTTGGTTTATTAACTTGATCTTTTGGTGGGGTAAGGAAATGGTTTGGTTACACCCAGACGCCATAGTAAATGCGGAACAACAATACATAAGAGAGAGGAATAATCGCCCTGGGTTCTCTGACCTTTTAGCCACATCTACCAAGAACAGAGTAACGTCGACACTTATTTTTTTTTATTTTTGAGTGGAAAACCCAGAGTTAGGTAAACAAATACTAGTTACTAGCGCATTTAAAAATGAAAGTACAAAAATGGCAAAAATAAAACTAATTATGGTGCACCAGGTATGTCCAACATCACGATACACATGATAACTGTCTGATAATTTATAACAAGTGCAAGCTCAGTCTAGACTCCATTTTTTTTTATTTTTTTTTTTAGGTTAAGGGTAAGGAGGTTGTGGGTAAGTTGCTAAGCAAGTGTGTGTTGTTACCAGTCAATCGTTGAGTTTACATTTAAACGCCAGGGCGGCCAAATCCATAATCCAGTCGTCTGCACCATTATTATTTGCAGGTTGCAGGTGCTTATTATTGACTAGTCAGGCACGACACACTTATTCGGCCATTTATTAATATGGATATTCAAGGACTGAGAGGGTAAATTTGTGCACTTTTCTTTTCATTGTTTTTTTTTTTTAGCTAGCACTTGTTGACTGAAACTTGAAAAAATATAATGATGACGTGTAGACACACCATCAGATATCCCGGTATAAAAAAAATTCCTAGTTATAGGTTTCAGAGGTTGACCCTTGTTTGCTAGAGACAAATACTAATCTAAGCCTAAAGACAGTCTTAAAGCCTGGGTGTTTAAATGAGGTAGGTAGGCTTCTGGGTTGGTATATAAAAAAATATATTTTGGTTCAACGCTAACGAGCATTGAGAAGATTTGAGAAGTTAACGACATTGCGCCAGTTTTGTGCTTGATTGATGTCGTAACTCGGATATGTACGATAAGAAGTCATGTTTGCGAGATATGTGTTGATTGTGTTTTGCAGGATCCTGGAGTTTGCAAAATTCTCCTATTCAGCCAGCTTTTGTTTCACAAAAGGAGAAAAACAAATTTTATTTTATTTTAATAACTAACAAACATTCATTTTGTCCCTATTATGCTTAGTAATTGCTGTGATAAAATGTTAAA